TAAAAACAAAACCCATATCCACTTCAATTTTTTAAAGAGCTATATTTCATAAGTTTGTACAGTGAAAATATCAAAGCAAGGTCTTCTATAATCTCATATTCAAAGCTATCCAAATAAGCACCAAATCCAAGTAAAAATAGTGGCCTTGTTATGAAAACACAGCTTCCTTAGACTCTCCTTCCAAATAGATTCAGGAATTCTGGAACTACCACTCTATAGTAGTTTTGCTTCCCAGCTAGGATATAAAATTAGACTTAAATCTCAATATGGCTTAGATTTAACAAATACTTGTCTTGAATCCTAGAATCCCTGACTTGGAACTTTATAAGCCATGAACACTTATAATCTTGGAAATTTGCAGAATAATAAATGCACACGTGAAATTTGCTTTAAAATACTTCGGCATTGATAGTATAGTTTTATGTATCTGGTCTTTAGCTTAAGTTATACCCTATATTCAATAACTTATCATAATTGAAAATTCACATCCAAGGGATGGTCCCCTGAGCATTATATGAGAAAGTGCACACTTCAGATGTAGCTTCTCCAAGAGTTTCAGCTATCTGTATTTCTAATCAATACTAGATTTTTCTAATTAAAATAATGAGCATTAAAAATTGGGTTTCATTAGGGAATTAATGCTTCTTTGTCATCATGAATATTAAAAGTGAGCTCTCAGGTAATATTACTGATATTCAAGATATGTGGGTTACCTTAAGTTTTAGAGACACACTCACCCTTGCATGAAAGGTATAATAATCTAAGAAGCCCTATTACCTGTACCTTTGGGCACAAAGCTTGAGGCCTGGGTCTTAACTGTACTGAGATCAAGACCCTGGAGTAGAGAACTCTGCTTTTCTGATGCCAGAAATAAATTAACCAAATCCTGACCAGAATATTCTTGCAAATGTTTCAAGTAACTGTTTTATGTAAGATGGTCTTTAGGGCACCTAAAAAGACTCAGGCTGGAACTTTATCAAACTTTCAGAAGAGAATTTTGTTCACCCTTGGTAATCTGTGTTTAATAATTTAGTTTGAGATTTGCATTTATTATAATCTAGTAATTAGCTTGTAGGGATATAGCTAAACTGCACCTCACCATAAACATCTTGGCAGCTACTAATGTGTTCCAAAGGGACCTTAACCGTTGGATTCTATTTGCATCAGTGTTTATCTGTAAGCTGAGAGCTCTGACACTAAATGTTTCCTAAGACTTATTTTATAAACTTCTCTTGAGAGGCTAGGAGTTAATGCATGAAAATACACCAGGAATGTGTATTGGACAGGTGTTAGTAACTAAACATCTCATAAGGTGTAAAAATTTCAGCTGTTGGGATGCCTGAGTGGCTCAGCAGTTGAGCATCTGCCTTGGGCTTAGGAGGTGATCCTGGGATCCAGGAATCAAGTCCCACATTGGACTCCTTGTGGGGAGCCTGCTTCTCCCTCTGCCTGTGTCTCTGCCTCTCTCTCTCTCCGTCTCTCATGAATAAAGAAATAAAATTTAAAAAAAATAAAGAAATACAAGAATTAAATTATAAAAAAGGTGGAACAGAACTTTTCTCCAAGTACCAGAACCAAGAAAAATTCCAATTGAGCCTAACATTTAAAGCAATTCCAAAAAGAGATTTTCTGTATCTGTTTTCAGTTGAAATCAAAAGAAATGAATTCTGATTAACTTATGCTACAGTTAAAAAAAAAGATTTGGAAAGTCTTACTGCCTCATAGGTAGAGCTCAATAATCAAAATTCAAGAAGAAAAAGAAGGGGACTTAGTAGAAGGTGTTGGTAGTATCTAGAGAGTCACTCTGCCATAAATTACTCTGTTTTAACTGTTTCTGTCCTCATGTATATCCACTAGAGATTCATATTTCTAAGATAAAGAATCACTTTGGCATTGCTAAGATCATTTGCCCACTCATAGCCGATGAGAGTAAGGCACATTTTCAATAGGATACAACAGTACATTAAGTACTGATGGAGTACTTCCAAATTCGTTCTATGAGGCCAGCATCACCTTAATTCCAAAACCAGACAAAGACCCCACCACAAAGGAGAATTACAGACCAATATCCCTGATGAACATGGATGCAAAAATTCTCAACAAGATACTAGCCAATAGGATCCAACACTACATTAAGAAAATTATTCACCATGACCAAGTAGGATTTTTCCCCGGGACACAAGGCTGGTTCAACACTCATAAAACAATCAATGTGATTCATCATATCAGCAAGAGAAAAACCAAGATCCATATGATCCTCTCATTAGATGCAGAGAAAACATTTGACACAATACAGCAACCATTTCTGATCAAAACTCTTCAGAGTGTAGGGATAGAGGGAACATTCCTCAGCATCTTAAAAGCCATCTACGAAAAGCCCACAGCAAATATCATTCTCAATGGGGAAGTATTGGGAGCCTTTCCCCTAAGATCAGGAACAAGACAGCGATGTCCACTCTCACCACTGCTACTCAACATAGTACTAGAAGTCCTTGCCTCAGCAATCAGACAACAAAAAGACATAAAAGGCATTCAAATTGGCAAAGAAGAAGTCAAACTCTCCCTCTTTGCCGATGACATGATACTCTACATAGAAAACCCAAAAGACTCTCCCCCAAGATTGCTAGAAATCATACAGCAATTTGGCAGTGTGGCAGGATATAAAATCAATGCCCAGAAGTCAGTGGCATTTCTATACACTAACAATGAGACTGAAGAAAGAGAAATTAAGGAGTCCATCCCATCTAAAATTTCACCCAAAAGTATAAGATACCTAGGAATAAACCTAACCAAGGAGGTAAAGGATCTATACCCTAAAAACTATAGAGCACATCTGAAAGAAATTGAGGAGGACACATATAGAGGGAAAAATATTCCATGCTCATGGAGTGGCAGAATTAATATTGTGACAATGTCAATGTTACCCAGGGCAATTTACACGTTTAATGCAATCCCTATCAAAATACAATGGACTTTCTTCAAATAGTTGGAACAAATTATTTTAAAATTTGTGTGGAATCAGAAAATACCCTGGATAGCCAGGGGAATTTTAAAAAAGAAAACCGTAGCTGGGGGCATCACAATGCCAGATTTCAGGTTGTATTACAAAGCTATGGTCATCAAGACAGTGTGGTACTGGCACAAAAACAGGCACATAGATCAATGGAACAGAATAGAGAACCCAGAAGTGGACCCTGAACTTTATGGTCAACTAATATTCGATAAAGGAGGAAAGACACTGGAAGAAAGACAGTCTCTTCAATAAATGGTGCTGGGAAAATTGGACATCCACATGCATAAGAATGAAACTAGACCACTCTCTTTCACCACACACAAAGATAAACTCAAAATGGATGAAAGATCTAAATGTGAGACAAGATTCCATCAAAATCCTAGAGGAGAACACAGGCAACACCCTTTTTGAACTCGGCCACAGCAACGTCTTGCAAGATACATCCATGAAGGCAAAAGAGCAAAGGCAAAAATGAATTATTGGGACTTCATCAAGATAAGAAGCTTCTAAAAAAAAAAAGATAAGAAGCTTCTGCACAGCAAAAGAAACAGTCAACAAAGTTCAAAGACAACCTACAGAATGGGAGAAGATATTTGCAAATGACGTATCAGATAAAGGGCTAGTTTCCAAGATCTATAAAGAACTTATTAAACTCAACACCAAAGAAACCATAATCCCATCATGAAATGGGCAAAAGACATGAACAGAAATCTCACAGAGGAAGACATAGACATGGCCAACATGCACATGAGAAAATGCTCCGCATCACTTGCCATCAGCAAAATACAAATCAAAACCACAATGAGATCCCACCTCACACCAGTGAGAATGGTGAAAATTTACAAGGCAGGAAACAACAAATGTTGGAGAGGATGTGGAGAAAAGGGAACCCTCTTGCACTGTTGGTGGGAATGTGAACTGGTGCAGCCACTCTGGAAAACTGTTGGAGGTTCCTCAAAGAGTTAAAAATAGACCTGCCCTAGACCCAGCAATTGCACTGCTGGGGATTTACCCCAAAGATACAGATGCACCGAAACGCTGGAACACCTGCACCCCGATGTTTCTAGCAGCAATGTCCACAATAGCCAAACTGTGGAAGGAGCCTCGGTGTCCATCGAAAGTTGAATGGAAAAAAAAAAGAAAAAAAAAGAAAGAAAGAAAGAAAGAAAGAGAGAGAGAGAGAGAGAGAGAAAGAAAGAAGAAAGAAAGAAAGAAAGAAAGAAAGAAAGAAAGAAAGAAAGAAAGAAAGAAAGAAAGATAGAAAGAAAGAAAGAAAGGAAGAAGAATGGATAAAGAAGATGTGGTTTATGTGTACAATGGAATATTACTCAGCCATTAGAAACGACAAATACCCACCATTTGCTTTGACGTGGATGGAACTGGAGGGTATTATGCTGAGTGAAATAAGTCAATCGGAGAAGGACAAACATTATATTGTCTCATTCATTTGGGGAATATAAAAAATAGTGAAAGGGAATAAAGGGGAAAGGAGAAAAAATAAGTGGGAAATATCAGAAAGGGAGATGGAACATGGAAGACTCCTAACTCTGGAAACCCACTAGGGGTGGTGGAAGGGGAGATGTGCAGGGGTTGGGGGTGATTGGGTGGCGGGCACTGAGGTGGGCACTTGACGGGATGAACACTGGGTGTTGTTCTGTATGTTGACAAATTGAACACCAATAAAAAATAAATTTATTTAAAAAAAAGAGTAAGGCACATTTTGTATGGGGCAGACCAAAAAATAGCTACTACGCACTGAAGCAGAAAATAAACATTCCTATACATAAATAAACTTAAACATAACTGTGCAATAAAAAATTATGACTTTATAGTCACACCATCTAGTCAATCATTTAAAATATTTGATTAAAGAAAAAGAAGTGCTTTGATGACATTTTCAAGTCCTTGATTATAAACCTCCTACATTTGAAGGTATAAGATGGAGAGACGACTGGTCGAGGGTCCCCGCCAGCTGAGCGTCCCTGCTGCGCCTCGCGCCAAGGTTTCAACAGATCTCACCAAGATGCCGTCTCAAATGGAACATGCCATGGAAACCATGATGTTCATGTTTCACAAATTTGCTGGGGAGAAAGGATACTTGACAAAGGAAGACCTGAGGGTACTCATGGAAAAGGAATTCCCAGGATTTTTGGAAAATCAGAAAGACCCTCTAGCCGTGGACAAAATAATGGACCTCGACCAGTGCCGAGATGGCAAAGTGGGCTTCCAGATCTTCTTTTCGCTAATTGCTGGGCTCACCATCGCATGCAATGACTATTTTGTAATATACATGAAGCAGAAGGCCAAGAAATAGGCACCACTGAGCAACACTCCGCCTGGAGTGAGGTGTCCTGAAGGGTCTCAAGGAATCTGTCCCACAGCTTCCACCTGTATAAAAGATTCCATGAGCAGATCAGGACCCTCAGAAAATGTACAAATAAAATCCAACCCCCATTTGAGAAACAGAGAAAGAAAAGTCAGTAAAAGAAAGCCAGATAAGCTTTTGATTTTTATATTGCTTGTTGCATCCTCTTACCCTCAATAAACAAATTCCTTTTTTAATTCCTCAAAAAAAAAAAAAGAAGAAGATGGAGCGACTTTTGCCATTATGAATTCAGGGATAAAACTTATTGTGCATGCTTTCTGAATCTCAAAGGATCAAGTCAAGTCTTTACGTTTATTTTCAAACACCTGAAAAGGATCAAAGGAGTGGAAAAGTCATTGTAACTAAGAGTTTCTCATGCATTTTAAGAGCAGATATTGAGTTTTACAATCTCTACTGAGGAAGCTGCCATAATGTTGATGAAACAGCAGCTCAGGAAAACAGATTTAATTCTGCAAATACTCATGGAATATTGCTAGTTTGTTGATGGCACCAAGAGAAACACAAATAAGCAAAATCTCTCTGGGGAACTTAAAACATAATGGGAAGTATAAACTAAATTCTCAAATAACTATAGAGAGTATGGATTATAAAAAGGGGACAGATTACAAGTAATTAAGAGAGTCCAGATATGATGTGAAATGTGGAATTCAACAGGAGAAAAAAATCAATATTTTCTTATTTCTTACTCTTTTTTTAAGAGCTTATTTTTTATCTGACAGAGAGAGCATAAGCAGGGGGAATAGCAGGCAGAGGGAGGAACAGGCTCCCGCTGAGGAGGCAGCTGGACGAGGCAGCTGGACATGGGGCTTGTGGGACTGGATCTCAGGACCCTGGGATCATGACCTGAGTGGAAAGCAGAAACCACCAACTGAGCCACCCAGGCACCCCTTATTTCTTACTCTTTTATAGAGACGTTACATTCATCACCTCATTTAATCCTCAACACTATCCTTTGGAGTAGATATTTTTGTCCGAATACACAGACGAACTGAAGCACACAATTAAGCAATTTACCCAATGTTACCCTCTGAACAAGTAGCCTCATTCGGCCTCATTATACAACTCTTCACCCCTTCTTGGAGTTGTGCTTTGAAACATATTATAGTGAAAAGAGTATGTTTTTAAATACAAGCTCAACAAAAACAACCTTGTCTTTTAATGGTTACGTTTGCTATAAAGAGATTTACAAAGAGAAAGAACTGTAAACTAGATATGTTCAGTCCTTCATTAAAAGATACCAAATTGGAGGAACTGTTAGAGCTGGTTGAGTAAAAAAGCACCTACTTACTATTACTTTGATTCAAAGCCCAGTTAAAACAAAGGAACACATTTTTTTTTAATAAGGGAAGGATTTCTGATTCTAGTACAGAGTTAATACCATGCTAGACACCTCCCCCCGCCCAGAAAATAACTGTAAAATCCAGACATAATACAGAAAGCAATTACTCAAAGGCACTAGAGTATAAGCAGTGGACAGAACCTTGCAGTGTGTAAACATCTATAAGGGAAGAGAAGAGCTATACCAAGAAAATTTCTGTTTCCATGGCTTTTAGCAAGAGGCTAAGGAGTGTTGTCATGTCACACACAGGATAGGTGTCAGTGTGAAGATTACAATTTTTCTGCGGAAGAGAACAAAAAACCTAAAATCATATCTACCATCAATGCTGAAGAAAGTTGGGGAAACCCCTGAAGGGAAAGAGCCATTTGGAGATTGAATCCTAAATGCTGTCTACCCATAATTCTTTTTTACTGGCCCCTGAAACATGCATGTGTGGCACAGAATCAACAGAGATTAGCAAAAGCAGAAAAAACGAAAAGAAAAGAAAGAACAAGAACTGACACTATAGTCTCCATCAAAGAAACAGAGTGCACATGTCAATTTCAGCCAAGATAATAGCCTGATAAAACAAAAAAACAACTCACTGGAGAAAAATAACAGAATCCCCACAATTTAGTAGTCATAAGTATCTGAAACCCAATTGAAAATTGCTTAATATACCAAAAAAATTAAAATCCACACATAAAGTGGAAGATGTTTCAACAACAACAAAAAATTAAACAAGATCAATCTTGAGATTAAATAGATATTGAAACTAGCAGGGAAACTTCTGGAACTATTCTGAATGAAATAAAATATGCTCACAATAAATAAAATAAGAAAGCTCAGCAAAGACGTAAGTTAAAACTAACAAAACGAAAACTTTATTTTTTTATTTTTTATTTCATTTTTATTTATTTATGATAATCACAGAGAGAGAGAGAGGCAGAGACATAGGCAGAGGGAGAAGCAGGCTCCATGCACTGGGAGCCCGATGTGGGATTTGATCCCGGGTCTCCAGGATCGCGCCCTGGGCCAAAGGCAGGTGCTAAACCGCTGCGCCACCCAGGGATCCCCAAAATGAAAACTTTAGAACTGAAATATACAATTGTTGAACTAAAAATTTCACTGGATGAACTTAATAACCTAAGCCTAGAAGAGATAACAGAGGAACAAGTAAATAAAATTGAATAAAGATCAGTAGTAATTATCAAATATGAAAAAATATCATTGTGAAAACAGAACAAAAACTCACAGACCTGCTAAATAGCAAACAATTTAAAATATAGATAAAGGGGGGCAGCCTGGGTGGCTCAGTGGTTAGCGCTGCCTTCGGTCCAGGGTGTGATCCTGGAGACCTGGGATCTAGTCCCACATCAGGCTCCCTGCAAGGAGCCTGCTTCTCCCTCTGTCTGTGTCTCTGCCTCTCTCCTCTCTCTGTCTCTCATGAATAAATAAACATTTTAAAAATATAGATAGATGATAGATAGATAGATAGATAGATAGATAGATAGATAGATAGATAATGGGCATCCCAGAAGTAGAAGAGAGAATGGAACAGAAAAATTATTTGCATTAGAGCTAAAAATATCACAAATTTGATGAAACAAAGAAACTTACAGATAATGATGCTGAATGAACATCAAACACAGGAAACACAAGGACACTCTTGCTCATCCTTTTTATACCTATCTAACATTATTTTATCATTGTCAAATCTTTAAAAGATAGATAATATTAGTATCTTCATTTTTTAGATTAGAAAAGTGATACACATACCAGAAACAAAAAATGTTAGAATACATATACAAGGTCTTCAAGATGATAAATGACTAATCAATGACTTAACATAGCAGTCTGACTCTGGAGGCACTGCTTTTATTTATTTGTTTGTTTTTTAATTTTAAATATTTTATTTATTTATTCATGAGAGACAGAGAGAGAGAGAGAGAGAGAGAGAGAGAGAGAGGCAGAGACACAGGCAGAGGGAGAAGCAGGCTCCATGCAGGGAGCCGAACATGGGACTTGATCCCAGGTCTCCAGGATCACACCCTGGGCTGCAGGCAGCGCTAAACCGCTGAGCCACCCGGGCTGTCCAGCCCTGCTTTTAATATGTAGCCTTGCACATAACCCTGATCTCTTATCCCTGAACTCTTGAAAAGAAAACTAAAAATATGGAACAAAAAATATGTATTAACATAATAAAAGAAATGGAGACATTATGGCCAAGGAAAAACTGATAATGATTACTAATGACCCATGTCTCATGAAGTTAATTTCACACACACACACACACACACACACACACACACACACACACAAAGGGAAACAAACAGAAAAAGCCATTCATAAGCAAGTTAGAAAATATTAGATTGGCCTTAAACTATTGTACAGCTGGGAGCAGAATACATCTATTTTAAATAAAGCCTACTTGAAATCCAGCCAACTAAGTACAATTCAAACCTTAAGTACTCAGAAGAGAAAATTCCTGAAAAAGGCCTGTTCATAAGCTCTGAAATTTTTATACTTCCATCAAAATGGTTAAGACTAAAAAATTAGATATTATGGTCACAAAATGAAATATAAGATTATAAATCTTAGTGATGTTACTATCAAATACTAATACTAATATCAAATCAGTAATAAATACTTGGAAGCAGATGAGAAAGTGGGAATTAGTGTAGGTGTATGAATCAATTATTGCTATGTAACAGATTACCTCAAAATTAAGCTGCTGAAAGTAACACGCATTTATTATCTCACATAGGTTCAGCTTGTCACATAAGACAGCCCTATTCAGTGCGGGAGACAATGGCACAGGGGTGTGAATACCAGGAGGAGAGGCGTCAGAGGCCATCTCAGCAGCTGGCAACACCATGTGTTCACTTCCCCATCTTTTACGATAGGGAATTTATTAATACTGTCCAAAGTTGAAACATGAGATTACATAACAACTCCAAGCTTTCCAAAGTTTCTAAATAGCTTGAAACTATTAAAGAGATTTATTTTCAAGTGGCTTTAATTCATTTTGGTAACTATATTAGAGTTTTTTCTGTCATTTGTCAACAATTTAGACCAGAATTATCCCCATGCCACGACAAATTCCCTTAGTAAAGTTTATAGCTTATACAGAATGATGCTATTCTTAATCACAGGATTTCTCTATGGAGTTTAATCTTATTTTATTTTGGAAATGTGATTTAACTTCTAATCTCTCATTTTAGCAACATTGTGAAGAATACTGACTAGAAGTAGGCTTTTATACCTTTTTAAAATCTATTTTACAAAGTTCAAGATAAAGAAACTAACAATGTTAAGTGTCTGACTCTTGGTTTTACCTCAGGTCATGATCTCAGTGTCTAGGCCCTGATCTCTGCACTCAGTGCAGAGTCTGCCTGAAATTCTTTCTCCTCCCCACCGCTCCTGCTTGTGCTCTCTCTCTCTTTAAAATAAATTAGTAAATCTAAAAAAAATTAAAAAAAAAAAAAAAAGAAACTAACAATTATAGAGAATATATAGAAATAATATAAAAGCACTGGAATGTCTAGGTAAAAATGGAGAAAAGTCACCCTTTTGCAATATGGGGAAAAAAATCATTTGGTCTGACTTT